CAACGAAAATAAATAATTGGTACATAACAGCTTTCTTGTATGCAAAGAAAATAATTAAAAATGTTAAAAAAGAGATGTCAACACAAAATTACATAGCCCCTTCAATTCAGAAGATACTACAAACGAACTGAACCTTAACATTTTCATATCCCAGAAGCTAACGTTCCCATGACGAATATTGCCATCGCTAGCGATTGCAAAATCCAACTTGTTTCTCTTTTTTTTGAAGAACTACACTCCTTTATTTTTACTATAAAATTAAATTTTCTTTTATAGAGAAAATTAAAATACTACATACATCTAAACAAAAATTAAAATAGTACATAATTTATAGTGCTTTGACAGAATAGGATGGATATAGCTGGTATCAGCCTAACTAAATTAGATGTTGCTTAATTTTTCTGATTTTCCAGTTTTTAAACAAAAACCTAAGCAGCACTGAAACTTGAAATTTGAGAGCATCTTTATCATTATCCGGCGTAAATTCATAGAGAGTTTGATAGCGTTAAGCAGATCAGTTTAAAAATAAGTCAAGACAGAAATTTGACAACGTGAAACGTGGTTAGGCTGATTCCAGTTGAACCCGTTTATAGCATGAAAAAAAGAAAGAATTAAGTTACATACCAATGAATCTGTAAAGAAGTTGAGACCCAATTTGATTGTTCTCTAGAAACCAGGCCGGAGGTGACAATACATGAGTCGAGAGACAGGAAAGATGGCTTTGAGTTACTTCTTTCAAAATTTCATCTTGAAGGTCAGTGTTGCCGCTAACAGCTGTTAGAATTGGAAAAATCACGGTTGGTTTGCTTTTTATGCTTTCCCAGTCCTTAATCACCTGTGATCAGATTGCAAGAGAAGAAGAATAATTTCAATTAATTAATGAATTGGCTGATAAGTAAATTATTTGCTAATTTTTAAATGCTTAGGGGGAGTTAGCTTTTTACCCATCATCTTTTAAAAATGTGCACAGACAAACGGAACGTACTGCATCAGTTAAAATCATTTGACATTACCTATTGATTGAATGTATAAATAAAAGAAGAGCAAAATGCACATGAAACTGAGGCGTTAGGTGCAGAGAGCACATTTTTTGGTTGCAGTGTTTCAAAATCTTCACTACTAATTTATGTTTTAGAGAGGAAACTACTGGGTGGATTTTTTTAAAATTTTCAGTTCTCAGCATTGTAAAAATTATAAAGAAAATTCAGAACAATTTTTACAAATTCAATGCATTTGATTTAATTATAGTAGATGAAACAAGGACGGAACTCCTGAAGCACCGCAACTAAGAAATATCCTTTTGGCACCCAGCGCTTTAATTAGTTGTTGCAAATTAAAGAACATCCTTGTCTGATTAAAAGAAACTGATGGTGAGAAGTTGTAAGAGGAATTAGGATTTCGGCTGACATATTTAGAAGAAAAAAAAAAAATTAGGAATAAGAGTTATACAACAATTATGATTTTTTTTTTTTTATCTAGTCTAAAGGGAGTAACGCTTAGAAATGAAATTTCCTAAATACTATAAGAGTAAAAAGTAATTACCGTTTCTATAAATGAGGGATTGTGAGAAAACAACAGAAGAGCTAAAGGCGAGATTTCTTTCAATTTCAATAACTTGTTGATAAATTCTGGTGGAATAAATTCGATGCTGTGAGGGAATCCATTGATGTATGATGTCAATGCTTGCTGGAGTCGCTTGTTCGGAAGCCGAGAACAGAGTGCAGCCACCTTGAATAAAATAAATAATAAATATTTCTTCTAAAAAGAGAGTATAAGTGGGAGAAAGACAAAGAGAAATTACAGAGGCATCAAATTAAATAAATTAAGATCATCAATTTTCAATTCAGTAGAAAATTACACAATATTTCGGTATAGAGTTTTTGAGGGATATCCTTGGAAAGGTGGAGAAATATTGTCCAATTCAAAAGAAACATGATTGTCCTGTTCCTTGAAAGAAAATAAATGACAAGGATTGTAGAGTACATTGAAGCAAGATACAAGTTCTCCTATTTTCAATATTGACCCATTTGCGCAGGCATTTCTAGAGGCTTTTCTATGGTTTTTAAATTATTATGTATATTACATATATCGTTATTTAAATCAAAGGTATAGCAAAACACATATCATAATGCTCAAATTTGCATTTCATCTAGGCATCAATTATATTCTTTGTAGTTTAAAAAAAAAAAAAAAAAAATTGGATCTTACCAGATGACTAGGCAAAGGCTCATTAAGTCTGCTTTGACTGATGATTTCCAACAACTGCGCCACTATGTCATTCCATGTATCTGTCAATGATTCAAAATTCTTAAAAATCTGGTCTATCACCTCCGCTGCCTCTTTGTCTGACAGTTTCAAACATCCTGTCACCTCTGATACCACTTTCTTACTACCCTTCAACTCATTTTTATCCTCAATTTGACACTTAAGCTGCTTCAGAAATCGTAACTTATATGGAGCTAAAGCCTTGTTTGGTATTAGAGGTTGCACTTCCATTAAAATGGGAAGCACTATTGCTACACTGTTCTTTGACTCATTTGACACATCCAGGGGTAAAAACGATTCCAGTATAGTTGGATGTGTTAACATAAACTGCACACATGGCTCTGCTGAAGTGTTTGGCAGGCACTTCAAGATAAAAAGAATGATCGAAGAGAGACATTCGGCTAGAGGGGCTGAGGAAGAACCCTGAATGATATTTTGTGCGGCGATGAAGATACAAAATCGAAAGAGAAGAGTGAGATGTTCAGGGGAGGTCTGATTAAGAGATTCAAGAAGAGCTTTTTGCTGACTGGCGTTCGGAGAGACTGCGAGTTGCAGTAATTGTGCCTCCAGGGATGTGTCGTCAAACCCACACAAATGCAGTGACTTGAGACTTTTGCTGGGTTTTTTGGATAGCCATGACTTTGTGTATTTTTTTAATTCTCCTGGAATAATGTCTTGGTATGTGTCCTTGCTCACAAGCAAACAAAAACCTTCCAGGTTGGTCTGTAACAGAAAAAAGATGAGGGATAAATAAATGCCTAAAGTGACTGAATTGGGTTTACTTTGAGACGCAATTTGAAAATCAAAATGTTTAAAATTGACTTATTACTACACGTTTAATACTTTCGGAGAACTTGGCCATCAAAACTTTGGTTTGGTTTGAAAATATTTACACTTCTCTGGAAGACATGTTGGTAAGACACTCCTCTAAGCTATGAAGCCTAAACTTAACCAATGAAATTTTTTCCAAAAACTATACCAGAGAAAGCTTCCCTGTCAGAGAACTTTTCCATTGGCAATCATTCAAGAGAATCAAATTTATTCTGAAATTTTTACAAAGTTCCATAATACAGATATTTTCTTGTGCCCAAAAAATAATTGGACGTAGTTCTACCAAAGAGACCTATGTGGAAGTGAGAAATATGGGGTGTGCTCGTTAGTCTCTTTGCGTGGCGAGTGAATGAGAATAATTGTGCGCCAGTGACGTCAACGGAGGAGGACGCCGCGTCACGTTCCTCGTGGTTGCGGTAGTCGTGCTCATTAACTCATGAGCCCTGTCCACAAGGCTCTCTTGCCATGCCCGCGGCTCATGAGTTCCGCATTCAGTTGCACATAGGTCTCTTTGATAGAATGCAATATCCCGCTTTGCCAATTCTTCAAAAGGAACCACGCCCACTTTTACATTGCTTCTTATGCAGCTTCCACGAGCACACCCCACATTTCTCATCGCCACATAGGTCTGTTTGGTAGAAATACGTCCAATTTCACTTCTCATGCGGTTGGGGAACTGCAATATGAAATACATACCTATTGCCAGCTAACAAAATAGAGCTCTAACTATTCCATTTTATCGGCATTTTTATTTTTGGAGAAAGTTTCCACAAAATCTGTTGAAAAGAGAGTTCATTCCATTACCTGTGAGTGAAAAGCATGAACGATCAGATTAACTAGAAATTTGTTCACAGATTTAGCAACAGCACTATTCATTTTACGATCATCACTTGCAAAGTTCTTCAGGAAAGCCAGGAACAATAGGCTGATGTTCACACGCGTTGAGCTGGAGGCAAAGAGGGTCAGATCTATTAATCCATGAGTTACTGAAAAAATAAAAACATAAATTTAGAATATACATATACACAAAGCAAATGTATTAAATAATGAAATTCAAGGAGTTGATCTACTTGTAAACACTGTGATCAAATTAAATAACTCTTTAAAATGAAAAAAATAGTACATATTACTGCATTAAATCAAGGATTGCCCAATTTTCCACTGCAATTTTCTTAAAATAGCAGCTACTTTCTTAAAGTTCTGGCACTGCTTGATTTGATTGGAGATTAATTTCAATTGCGCCCTGATTATTTTGCGGTTCAACTAAATTTTTGGGTACAACTGTATTACTATATACTATCAATTGACTCCTCCATTCATGTTTTGACGCTTATAATTATAATAAAGTAAGTGATGAAGCATTTCAATCAGGATTCGTTAGTGCCAAAAAATAAATGAATTTTTCAATTTCAAACGTACAAAACAGTTATCCTTTGATGTACTAATCATTTACAAAGCATTCAGTGCTTTGTGCAAAATTCTATACCAAAATATACATGCTAGGTGTTTTTTATAAAAAACTTCTCTGGAAAAAGAAATAAATTACGATCAGAGGGAGGGTATTGATTCGATCGACATGAATCGATCAAAAAATGAAAACATGAATCGATCGACACCGATTCGATCGACAAATTGTTAAAAAACCGGTGTCGATTCGATCGATATGAATCGATCGAAAAATGAAAATGTGAATCGATCGACGTGAATCGATTGACACCGATTCGATCAACAGATAATTTTAAAAAACCGGTATCGATTCGATCAACATGAATGGATCGAAAAATGAAAACGTGAATCCATCAACATGAATCGATCGACACCGATTCGATCGACAAATTTTTAAAAACCGGTGTTGATTCGATCGACATGAATCGATCGAAAAATGAAAACATGAATCGATCGACACCGATTCGATCGACAGTTAATTTTAGAACACCCGTATTGATTCGATCGACATTCATGTCGATCGAATCGGTGTCGATCGATTCATGTCGATCGAATCGACACCGGTCTTTTATTTATTTGTCCATCGAATCGAGACCTGTCTTTTATAAATTTGTCGATCGACATGAATCGATCGATTCACATTTTAATTTTTGCATCGATTCATGTCGATCAAATCGACACCAGTTTTTTAACAATTTGTCGATCGATTCATGTCGATCAATTCACGTTTTCATTTTTTGATCGATTCATGTCGATCGAATCCATACCCTCCCAATCAGAGAATCGAACATCCCTAGTTTATAACTTGTTGTTTTTAATGCCTATCATAGATGGATAAAATATTACCTTTGTTAATAAACTCTTCAATGTTTTCTTCTGCTGTCAAATGCTTTTGAGAACTTTCATCAAGTTCGTCACTCACTTTGACAAGCTCACTTGATTCATTGGCCAAGTATTCGACAGCTAAAGCGAACAACTCTGCAACTTTTTCAGCATGACCAGATCCGACGGTAGAAAAACTGTGGACCCAGGTCGCAAGCTCGTGTTCATCACCATTAACAAGCCTTGAATTTATCATTAACTTGTAGAACAATTGCTTTGCCTCTAAATTTTTTTCAGAAATCATTATTACGATCACTCGCTGCAAGCCATGGCGGAATTCAACCTGGTGGTAAAAGAGTTGATAACAGTCATCATTGAACTAAGAGATGTATTCTACAACAAATTTTGGCCTGACTAAAAAATTTCACTGATTTTCCTTCTGATTGATGCAAAAATTAACAATGACAGAAACTGCAGCTGTGCTAAGGGGAAACCTGAATTTTTAATCAATTTTGCAACCTTGGATTGCGGTGTTACGTACCTTTGTCTCGAAAACGATGAATTGTCATATTAAAATGCAACTTGACTCCCTCTATTAGACAGAATGTCTACTAAAACTGGCTGGCAAAAATCCATACGTACTTTCACAGTACTAAATCAGTACTTCTACAGTTCTTTCCCGAAAAAAATCAGTACTCATTAGAAAAATTTAGTGCTTTTTCAATAGCCTCAAAAAAATTCATGCGCAAATCATGGCAAAAATGATGTGGCCACAAATTTTAAAGCTCATGGCTTGAACATCAACTAGCTTCAAAATTGCGATCCAAGGGGCAAATATAATATTGTACTGAGAATTGATTTGTAGGGGTTACATAAATTCCAGACTGTCTTTAAAAACATGCGTGGCATGAGGAGCAAAATTTCCGTAATTTTTCAGTACTTTCAAACAGCCCTCAAAAAATGTGTACAGTCTCCGAACTTTCCGGACAAGTGGACACTTTGATTAGAATGAAAGTAAAGAGAGCCTTTTGCGCTTTTCTCTTCAAAATATTTGAGGATGTGTTCCATCAGAAAATTAAATTCATATTTTATGATCCAGTTTTATAAAGTCGCTCTTCTGTAAAAACTTGGGAGCACTAAAGTTCTGCCTCTTGAGTCTAAAATAGATGTGAATGTAATACTAAAGTTGATCGAAAAGTAAAACCTCTATACCAATGAAAATGCTTAGATATTAAATATCATGATCGATTAATGAAATAAAAGTAGATTGATAGGTAAAAAATCAGAGTTTACACTTGAATAATTGAAAAAAAGAATATCATTAAAAAATACCTGATTGACATCGATCTTGTTGAGGTAAATCAGCAAAGAAAACACCTTCAGGAAAGGAGCAGCAGAGAAAAAGAGACATGAATCGTAAGAAACCTCCGCAAAGTGTTGGCGTATCTTATCCGCAAATGAAGATGAAAGATCAGAGAACAGTATTAAAAGTTCAGCTAAGGATGAAAGGTACATTTCTTCGGTTAACTTTCTACCATCTTCAGCTATAACAGTTCGAAAATCAATTTCTTTCGTCCAAATAGAGCTAAGTAGTTCTGCTGAAGCTACATTCTGGAACAATTGAATACAAGAAAGAATATAGAAATATTTTTAAAGGCGGGAAAAATCAGAGCAGATGAAACTAATTTTGGCGATTGCTTGAGCATGAAGAATAATTCGGCTGCAAAGGATAAAGAACCGAGTGACAGTTATTGAACAAATTAAGTTAAGGATAGTTTTAGTTTTTCTGGGAAAATATTCTTCTTTGCCTAAAATCTGATGCTCATATAAAAATTTGAGGGTGGAAGAGTTGACTTGAAGTCTCTTTTCTATACTGAGCTTCGTGAGATAAAACTTAGAACTCATTTTTCTCCAATTCCTTGACCTTGACACTTAATTCCTTTTCGCTAAATACTGTCCAATTGAAGAGTGTCACACATGAGGAGGTTAAGAGAATATTTAATAATCTCTTAAAACAAAATTTTCAGATTGAAAAATGCATAAAAGCTTGGGACAGGAATGAGCTCAATACTTGAATCTTGAGGCTCAGACCCTCTGGCACAAACTTCACTGATGATGACTGAAATTGAAATTGTTTAAAAGTTTCATCCAACTTTTTCATACATTATACCTGTATTGGGAAAAATATTGTAAAGGTTTCATGAAACCCAGCATTTAAAAAATTTCATTTTAGCCAGGACTTCAATTTTGTCTACAATTAATTGATGATTTCCAAGATAAAACAAGGTCTAAGACTATTCAAATTAGAGACCAAAGGCACTCCATATACTTGGCGTACAAAAAGCCTGAGGCAAAGCGACAGTGAAACTGCAAAAATGCTGTCTTCTTTTCAGTGTTTTAAACTTCAAGCTCCTATTTTATTTTGTTAAAGAGGAACAGACCAACATCATGGCTAGAAATTTCCTCTGAATATTCTTCACACACAGAAAAGAAAATCACAAAAGTTTTTAGGATATGACGGTGCGTAGGTTTTCATTTAAAAAATAAAGTACGACACAAAGTCTACAACTTCGAACACTGAGAGACACCTTTCTGCAGTTTGACTGACAAAAGTCTATCGAGTAGGACTACTTTTACTTACCTTCTGAATGTAATTAGTAAAGTGATTGCTGATGTTACGAGTTCCATGTCGGTTGGAATGTAACTCAATGTATTCATTTAGCTTCTTCATACAAGCGATGAGAAAATTTATAGTTGCATAGCATAACATAGTATCACTGCTGTCGAGGGCGTCCTTAATCGAGCTGCATAAGCATTGAGGTAAACACAACTTCAGAGTTACTTCAGGGTAGTTCTCTAACCGAAGGCTGTTTCCATAGCATTTTGAGTTTTCTACGATCTATGAAAAAGGAAATTGAAAATTTGTACACAATTACTTTCAAAAGATAATGAAACATTTGTGCAATACAAAATAAAAAATAGCAAAATTATTAAAATTGAAAAGTTCGGAGGCACAGTGTTGTATACACTGTCTTTCCTCAGGGGACCTCTTAATTATGGTTAAAACTGTGATTAAGAGAGATTTAAAAAAGCCCTGTAAATGCCCTAGCAATTTGAAATAGCAAATTTTTGCGAACCTTCAGTAAAATGGAATATTAGGACTGAGGAAAAGGATCCTCACAAGGGATTACAATAATTTGCTGCTAAAAAATATAGAATACCAAAGAAATTTTTACAAAACTCCATTTGTGAAAAATTTTGGATTTAACTTTTTGCATCATTTCTTAAATGAATTATTTTTCTAGTGAGAAAGTATTCTTGGATTTGAATCATTCCAAATAACCTCCACCAGGTGTAATTAATCCTAAGACAAGGGGAACAATCCCTTTCAAGTTGTGCATTGGTAAAGTTTTGATCCTTACTTCACTCTTCAGTTCTTCAATTAATTATCATTCAAGTGAGAAAGTATACAAAATGATTGCGGTCATGAGACACTTTGTTCGAGGTTTTTGCCAACGTGCGTTAAAGATTCAACATAAAGCTGAAAATCTCAATACAGAGGGAAAAAGCTCATTTGAGCACAGTTTTCCCTCAAAGAGATATGCTGTTTGGTGCAACACTAGTTACGTCCATTAAGGAAGACAACTGGGTAGACGTAACTGGAGTTGAACCAAACAGCATACCTCTTTGAGGGAAAACTGTGCTCGAATGAGCTTTTCCCCTCTGTATTGAGATTTTCAGCTTTATGCTGAATTTTTAACACACGTTGACAAAAAACTCCGACGCACTGAGAAAGTATATTGGCAAAATTGAATTTTTTTGAGCGGCCATTGCCAGATTCAATTAACCCCAAAACAAAAGGAACTATGAAAGGGGAAATATTACCCGTTCTTTGTAAATCCTTCAGATTGATGAAGCCGAAATATTTTTTATGTACTGCAGACGGAGATAACATATAAACAAATTTAAAAAACTATAAGAATGACTCACCTGATGCACTATTTTAATAAGTAGTGACACTTGTGTTGATGAAACAGAGACTTTGTGGAAAACCGTTTCTAGTAAATTTGGCGAGACAGTGAGGGTTTTGGTAAGGAGATTCGCTTGTAGTTCATCTGTCCATACATTATCCAATACCTGCAAATTTTTATCTGTGATATTACTTTTTGGGAAAAATAAATATAAACATTACTTTAATTATAGATTGATTATTGAGTACCCTCGTTTGTTATTAGTACTTGATGGTTCTATTTTTACTGCAAAATGAATTATTTCTTTCCGTTTAATGCCTTCAAAAAAATGTTCAAAACCGAAGCTATTTTATTGGCAGTTGCTTTGTTGTTGAGCGTAAGAATAAAATGTAAATAAAAACAAAAATCATTCCATAGAGATATAGAGATACTATTTCAGTGATCACTTTTAAGAATTTTTCAATTGTCATGTTGACAACATCCCCAGCATGATCTTAGAGCAAAATTAAATTTCGCTCCTAATACCCCCCCCCCCCCATTTTAGCTATTGCATAATTTTTCCCAGGTACAATCCATTCAATTGAGCCACTTGTACAGAGATTTTTGAATTTTTTTCTTGATGTAATGTTTGAGGAACTCTGAGGCCAAGTTCCGGAAATTTTTCAGAATTCTAAATCTTTCACAGAAGTATCAGATTATACATCGCTGGATTTTTCGCACCTTGAAACTCCCTCCCTTGGGTTTAAAGAAATGAGCAATGAAAGTAACATTGGTCAAACGAAAATAATTTTTCAGGACTGAGGCTTGGATCTAATGCTTGGTGCATTCTTCTTACTTATGACCGAGCAGGAACAAACCATCAAGATTCTTGTGGGTTAAACTCCGCAACACTGACAAAGTGATGAACGCTGTTGATAAGAATTCTTTTATTGGTCCCCTAAACCATTTCGATGTGCATTCAAAGTTATGAATAATAAATGGACTTACATATTTTGAAAGGTGTTTCTTGTGAAATTCATTCCCAGAGAAATAACACAGTGAATTGTACAAATTGTGTATATCCCCTCTCATAATGGAAAAAAATGAAAATATTCAAGGATTCTAAAGGGGTAGAAAACCCAGTGACTTGCGAATCCCAAGTGCAACTCGAACCTGAAAATTTCAACGAGACCGTGCATTATCTAATTGAAAGGATTACCTTATTTTTCAAAAAATTAATCAAATATCCATTGGTTTGATCAACAGCAGCTTTGAAAACTAAATCAGAGGTTACGATACCATACTGCTCAGAGGTGCACAAAAGTTCTAGGAATTCATGAGCTTTTGAACGAACCAATCCTTTTTCATTTTCGTCAACCTGCAAAAAAAAAATGGTTTAGTTTTTAAAACTGGACACACAAGTTGCTACTTTATTTAATTTGACATGAAGCACAATCAGTTGTTCTTGGGAGGCAAAAGGAAGAGATGTGTCAAAAATTTAGGGAAATGTTCCGGAAATTCTAAAATACATGCATAAAATTGTGTTAGAGCATTTATTTGTGATAAACTAATGAACCTTAAAAATTTCTGCCAAACATTGAAGGATTACCATGGAAGAAATAAAACTGGTGCTACTACCAATCAGGTGCCTTTCAAAAAAGCCGTTCTCCTTTTCTCTTCTCATCACAAGAAATCGGATTAAGTCCTGAGTTTGAAATTTCAGAGGAAGGAAAATTAAGGCTAGGTACTAAAGAGTGAAAAGGATCAACATTGTCTCTTTTGTCAGTTGAACTTGTAACAAGTAACAAATGACATTTTATAAGAGTTGTTGACCATTCACTCCGCTTCTACTATGATGAAACTGTCTTTAAGCGAACTCGTTCTTTTTTTTATTGGATTTCGCTTACTTCAAATACTCCAGTTTATAGGAAGGGAGACCTCAGAAACAAAAATAAGATAAAATACGCTTCCTTACGCGTGCGGGAAAGGATATTTGAACTCATTCACGGCAGGCGCAGTGATACAACTATTCGACCACGGGTGTAAGCCTGTTGCTGCCAGCCGGATTGAAGGCGCGCCACACTCCAGCAATTACTCGGGTCCCGTCCCGTGCGATCTCCCTGCCTGGCGCGGCGCTAAAATCGCCGCAAAGGGAGGACAGCACGCCATTTACCTTGACTCTCTGTCCCGTTTTTACCACAATTTGAGTGAAAGTGTATCCCTGAATTGTATCGATTCAGAATCTTGGATTGGGTTTATTAAATGAGGTATGAAACGAGCGAAAATATTACGACAAAATTTCCAGCGACTGAAAATCCGCGGAAATTCTTTAGAAAGACTGTATTTGCCTTTCGTGACAAGAATGATTAAAAATAAGACATTATGAGGTCTGTAACGTTGCAATTGGAGTTAAATACGCTACCCTACACGTGCAGGAAAGGAAATTAAAGCTCATTCACGGCAGGCACAGAGATACAACTATTCGACCACGGCTGTAAGCATGTTGCTGCCAGCCGGATTGAAGGCGCGCCACACTCCAGCAATTACTCGGGTCCCGTCCCGTGCGATCTTTCTACCTGGCACGCCACTAAAATCGCCGCAAAGGGAGGACTGCACGCCATTTACCTTGACTCTCTGTCCCGTTTTTACCACAATTTGAGTAAAAGTGTATCCCTGAATTGTATCGATTCAGAATCTTGGATTGGGTTTATTAAATTCATTTTTTTAAAATGAGGTATGAAACGAGCGAAAATATTGCGACAAAATTTCCGGCGACTGAAGGAAATCCGCGAAAATTCCTTAGAAAAACAGTATTTGCCTTTCGTAACAAGAATGATTAAAAATAAGACATTTGTTGAGGTCTGTAACGTTGCAATCGGAGCTAAATACGCTTCCCTACGCGTGCGGGAAAGGAAATTAAAGCTCATTCACGGCAGGCGCAGAGATACAACTATTCGACCACGGCTGTAAGCATGTTGCTGCCAGCCGGATTGAAGGCGCGCCACACTCCAGCAAATACTCGGGTCCCGTCCCGTGCGATATCCCTGCCTGGCGCGCCGCTAGACAAAATTTCCAGCAACAGAAGGAAATCCGCGGAAATTCCTTAGAAAAACAGTATTTGCCTTTCGTAACAAGAATGATTAAAAATAAGACATTTGTAGAGGTCTGTAACGTTGCAATCAGAGCATAATACGCTTCCCTACGCGTGCAGGAAAGGAAATTAAAGCTCATTTACGGCAGGCGCAGAGATACAACTATTCGACCACGGCTGTAAGCATGTTGCTGCCAGCCGGATTGAAGGCGCGCCACACTTCAGCAATTACTCGGGTCCCGTCCCGTGCGATCTCCCTGCCTGGCGCGCCGCTAAAATGAATGTGTAATAAGGTATGAAACGAGCGAAAATATCGCGTCAAAATTTCGGCAATTGATGATGATGCATGGAAATTCTTTAGAAAAGCTATGTTTCCCTTTCGTTACAAGAAAAATTAAAAATAAGACATTTGTTGAGGTCTGTAACGTTGCAATTGGAGCTAAGATATTAGTCCTACTACTTGTATAAGCGTTTAACAACAATTTTGCTTATAATCTTGAACAAAACCTAAATTACGACATTTTGAAGTTTCTACTTTTGAAAACATAATTTCAAGGAAACTCTAAAAGTTGAAGACTGTCACGTTCAGGGCTTGGATTGTCAAGTGAAAAGACAATTCAATGCTTCCCGTGGGAACAACAATGAACTAAACCATTATTGACTTCTTATTTGCGATGCTGAAGAGGAGTCTCCATCAAAACTTCAAATTCTGATAACTCCACCCAACTTGACAAAATCACTCCCCTGAAAAATTTTCTTCTTCTTGTAGAGGGGGGGGGGGGCTTTCCCAATAGACAGTCATGAATGAATGACAACTGATGAGTTAACCCAGCACATTGATAAGATAAAACATTTCTATCGGAGAAGAAAATAACTTAGAATAAACTTACTTCGCCAACCGGATCAAGTTTGGCTTTTTTGACTGTCTTGACAGGCTTAAAGAATTTTTTGAAACCAGGCGGGCCTTGCCATTTATATAACTCAGCTAAGTGGGCTAAAGTTGATGACTGAAAGGCGTTGAGCTTCAAATTATCAGCCAATTGCACTGTTTTGAGAAAGTTTTCAACAGTTGATAAAAACTTGACAACATCCTCGCATTCGTCAACAACCAGTCCCACAATGATAGTATTGAACATATCTTGGGAAAGAAAAGAATAAATTGTTAGGAATTGATTTCAAATAATAGAAAAAATAACACATTTAACAAGGATTTGAAACCTGAGCATTTAAACAGCGTTCTGAAGTACTTACAGATAGTTTGACAATAGTGATTTTCTTATGCTAACAATTTCTTTAACTATTCCTGAGAATACATGTTTTTTACTATCGTACATAGGAAATTCTACTTTTAATAGATTCAATCACTTATTTATATTTTTTTAAATTTTTTTTTTCACATCTTAAAGTGGATTATGGTTCCTTACAAAGACTTTTCAAATAATAATTGAGATAAAAGTATATCAGTTAAAAATGACTTTTAGAGGTAATAGTTTGAGTTGCTGACACTTTACACTGAAAATTATAGTGCAAAAGCTTCAAAGCTTCAGAAAATACAAGCTGATCACAGCTCACTGAAGTAAACCTGCTAACCAGCCTGAGGGCTTCAGTCTTATAATCTCTCCGCCCTAGTGATGCAACTCGGTTTTCAAGCCACTTCTCTTTGCCTAAAAACTAGAAGGAATAAGAAAAGAGAGTAAGAGGGGAGGAAGAAGGGGAGATAGGGATTCCGCACTTTTTTTCTTCAAAGGAGAACCAACTCTCCAATTTTGGCAGTTTTCAGAAGCAACTTTTTTGGAAAATAGTGATTTGTGATACAACTTGAGTGGATGTTATTTTCAGTCTCAGGGAGTTTGAAGGTAGGCTATAGGGTTTTTTTTTTTAAATTTATGATGGATGTTGTTGTAATCTATAGAAACAATAGCTTTATAAGAAAATATAATAGATGCAAAAATCTTAGGATGAGAAAAAAGGAAAGAGAAGATTAATTATCAAAACTTACTTTTTGGTTTGCTAACAAGAAGGGAAAACAAAGCTGAGCTATTCTTTCGGATAAAACTCAGAATGAATTCTATAAAAAATGGCCGCACTTTTTGATTGGACGCTAAGTTGTCCATCGTGTCCCCTGTTATTTGAAGTTCCAAAAGAATCTCTTTTGCAAGATCATAATTTATAGTTACGATTGCTGAAAAAAAAAAATTAATTTTTACTAAATGAAAAACAGAAAACCCACAGAGGATTTAAAAAAAGAGACCAGAATGTGAAAGAATACCTACTTGGAAATTTGGTAAGTGCAGTGCTCAAGATTTAAAAGCTGAGATATTTCAAATTTTCCGCACATGCAATGCCACTCAGACTAAGGAATAAGCTGATTGAACCAATCCACTGTACTTAAGATGAATCATTGTGCCACGGAATCGTAAGGCTTAAGCATAGGAATAAGCAAAAAACAATAAGATCTGTCCAAACGCCGAGTTTGACATTCAATATTAACAGAGATATTGCCTATTGCCTTCCAAGAACACAGTTCATATTGTCGCACTTCACAATAGTACACATCATAAATAAATCAGCAAGGACTCATAAGGGCAGAAGTCCAATTTTTCAAACTCATATTATGTGTGCAATTTTTTTTGCTCTTCTCACATAAACTTCCCATTCCTGTGTGTTCATCACTAGCATCCCAAGAAACAGACTACTGCCGCTTTCTTGGGTAATTTAGTAAGAACAATCGGAGCGTTCAAAAATGCAATAAAAAAAATGGTTTTGAAAAACGGACTTCCAACTTCTGCACTTTTTAAAAGTACTGTTTCAAATGAAAAATATTAAACAAAAAAAAAGATAACTTGTGATTTTGATGGCAACCAATGAATACATACCGGTTAGAAGTTTCAGAGCAATCACTGAAAATTTTTTATCACTGCTCAAAAGTTTTTCAATTATCTTTAGATGACTGGATACTAGTTCTTGACTCACTTCAATGGCATCTTGCTCCAGATTTGGCAGGTCTGACTGAGATCTGAGATGATAAAAGACAATATTAAACTAGGGGAAATTAAGAGCATACAAATTTTAAGAAAGCACTCAAAATAAAGTAAACCGCAAGATTCTCAATTTTGCTAGGAACAATTTTGAGCACTCAGTTACAACCTAAATCCATTGCAACTCTGCAACAGCTGTAACTCTAAAGAGAGTACTCAATCCATCCTCAGGTGTTGTCTACAAGAATAGAGGGACTGTAAATATATTTCTATGACGTCACTCAAGTGGATGAAACTCGGCCACAGTTTAACATGTGTTCTAATGGAAGAAAAGATGATGCATGTTCATTTCGTGCCAATAACTTGTCAGGGTTTGGTCTCCCGCCCAACACGAAATATTGCAGCAATATTGCAGCAATATTGTCAATATTGAAACAATATTGTCATGTAAATATTTCCTTAAATACACTGCAGAAATATGTTGACAATATTGCTAAAATATTTCATGACAATATTGTAACAATATATTTATAAAAATGTTTTAAATATATTTACAAAATATATTTATGTAATTACTTTTAAAACAGTTTGTAAAATATATTTACAAAATATTTTAAAATTATTTTGGAAATATTAGTTTAAAAATATTTGTTTAATATTATGTTAAAAATATTTTATACATATTTTTGTAATATTTAAAAATTAATTGCTAAAATGGCAAAAAATGGTTTGCGATTTCTGCAATTTGCTTTTTTTGCTAAAATGCCCACCCTCGTGGCGAGAACGACAAAACAATTTGCAAAAGTGGTAATTTTATTGTGCGAAAATGGCACTATACTTTTGCGAAATTAACATTACTAGTTTATGCTCTTATGGCTAACATTTTTGCTAGATTTTCAAAATGTTTGCCAAATTAGCGTATGGTTTTGCTCTGTTTACCAATTATTTTGCGGAACTTACTAAAATCAATCGCTAGAAAAAAGAAAGGGGGGGGGGGGAGAAAAGACAAAAAGAAGGGAAAAAAATAAATAACATAACATAAATACATCGACATAAATTCAAACTAGGAAAAAGCTCAAATAATTAAAACTGGAAAAAGACGCAATTATAAAAAACAGTAATTTGGTAAAGAAAAAAATGAGAGAGAGTTAAAAAAAACGAAAATTTGTAATACATGAATAGGAATATGTTGAGTACAATTAATAAAGAATTTGAAACACAAATTACAGGATGAAATAAAAAATAATAAATAAATAATAAATAATAAATTCTGGTAAAATATTATAAGAATCCGTCAATAAACAAACATATTACGGACTCAGAGGCCTGCGATAGTTAAGAGATTGAATTTACGGGCCCATCTACATCAAGCCTGGCTGGTCTGGTGGTAAAGTACTGGACTTCGGATATCAACTCCACCCCGAGGCGTAGGTTCTAATCCCGACTAGGACGGCGCGGATTTTAAGGTCAGTAACATCTCTACTATCCACAACCTGGACGCATGTGTACATTAGAAAGAAAATTAGTACCAAAGACGTCTCCTAGAGTGCGCGCATACGGATATGGAATATGATAACCTCATCGCAAGTAAATATTTTTAAAATATATTATCAATATTACCTTGACAATATTGCTGCAATATTTTCAGGGGGGCGGACAACAAACTATTGCAGCAATATTATTTCGATATTGTTAAAATATTGTTAAAATGTTTTTGACAATATTTCAGCAATATTTTTAAAATATTTCCGTGTTGGGCGGGCTGTGGGAAAAATTCATAAAAACATTTTCGAAAGAGGATAAAATTCCACTTCGGAATGCTGACTAGCCTGTGAATGACATTTTCTGATAATTGAGGAGATTAAGCTGAATCTGAAAATCATTACTCCACTAAGATTTAAATGCGCTGCTCATGCAACTTTCGCCAATCAAGGGCCACTCTGATTGGTTGATGCAGTCAGCGACTGCCTTACCGATGCTCCAATGACCCACAGATAAATATTGTTTCCCGTAAAAATCCACTGGTTTGACCGATTAGAAAAACCGAGTAGTTATGGCCTCGCCATTCTTTGAGGCAACGCCTATAGAGCACATAGAGTCATAATGTAAGTGGGAGGGCTGGGACCTCTTTAAAGCATTGTCCAATTCCCAAATTCCATGACTCCTGTGTCACGCTAGGTAACTTTGTCGATGCATAATCGATTGTTTGCGATATACGGGAGCCCGGCCATACAATGTAAACAAAATGGATAGGAATCACCACATATTCTACATCACCATTCTGGATGAAAAATGTAGGTTTCAAACAAGTGACCGAAGTTCGGCGCACACCGCACTAGGAACTCGTCGTCCAGAACATAGTCCTAGCTCTCCCATTCACTTTGTGACTCTGTGTGCTTTATGGCAACGCCGTAGCTTATCTTCATCAACGGACAAGGTGGACCTTTTAAAGTTGTACCGATCAAATGCTCGTTCATGCTGACAAGTGACAGCTATGGAGGAAAATTGAAATAAAACGACGAATTTTTAAGGGACAGTCTCAATATAAAAAGAATGACTACATCTGAGGAAATATAGGAAGAATTACCGAACGATGAAAGGAGTGACAGCTGACAAAACGAGACCCGCGTCTTGCACCTTCTGAGCGACTTCTTCATCTTGTAACACTTGGATGAATTTGCGGAAGTAATTGCCTTTATTGCAGAATTTTTGCACTGCATCCTGAGTTTCATCTTCAAGATCCTCGACAAATTTTTGCACGTCTGATAACTTAAACATTGTCACTGATAAACGATAAAAACACTGAGGGAGGACTAAGGGATAAGGTTACCAGAGAGCTACAATAAACTAGAACTCGGCTCTTGACGATTCTGTAAGTTTACGTAGCAAATTTTTCATTCCTCCACTTCACATCCTTACTTATTACAATATGAAAAGAATTAAATAAGTATTGATAGATTAGATTCTCTTCGGCATGCGTTTAGGCAATACCATCTGATGGTATTGGTTTAGGACGAGCGAGCACATGGACACGCGATGCTTCAGATGAGTGATGGATTTCGAACGTTTTCTTTTTTAGAATTGCCAGTTGTCTGATTTTAATTGCATTATTTATAATGTTTATAATGCAAAAATTATTATTCGCTATTTTGATTTTGACTTGGCAATCATGCAAGTGTTATTCTCCATGTTGTTTCTTACAACAACAACATGCAACAACAACAAGTCATAAGTCAACATTTCAAGAAATGTCAAAAAACTGAAGTGAAAATGTGTTGTAAATTTCGATAAATTGTAAGTGATTCATAAAAATTGTTTCAATTTTTTATAATTAATGCCTACAATGATGTGTTTTTTATACATCCCGTGAGAACCGGCAATCAATGACTGCTCTCAAGAATCCTTGCAGCTTGCCTCCATCTAACAACTGATGCCCCACGATGAAACGATCAAGGTCTCGATCACCGTTAAACCATCCTCCACATTCAAAACACAATTGGTATGCATTGTTCAACGTTTCAATTTTTATCTTAGTTATTCCTGTCAAGACAGGAAGCAGGCTTTAAGCTCCACCATTACCTACGAGAATGGAGAGGCCGTAACTAGTCAGTTTTGCGACGTCAAGCTAGTAGATATTTACCGAAAACAACAAGCATCTCCGGGTCATCGGTGCATCGATGAGTAAGGCAGTCGCTGCGTGGACCAATCAGAGTGGCCCTCGATCGGCCGAAGTTGCGTGAGCGGCCCGTTTGAATCGGAGCAGAGTATGATTTTCAGTATTACGCTTTCATTTCCTCGATTTTTAGACAATGTCACAGGGTCAGTTAGTTTTCTCAAGTGAAATTTCATCCTCTTTCGAAAAGTTTCTTATGAAATTTTGCGTCAGATCAACCCTGAAAAAGATATCTGCAAGAAATCATCGCGCGGCAAGCGTTCTCCCATAAGAGCGCGTGTTAAACTGCGGCTGAGTTTCATCTACTAGTGTGACGTCACAGAATCGTAGTTACAGCCTCTCCATTCTCGTAGGCAACGGCTCCACTAAATGTTGTAAGGGTCACTAGCTTTACCGCACACTCATCTGGAGTTCATCAGTCAGTTTCACATGTAGTCAGTTGCCATCATAGGAGATGCGCTGTTGATTTTAGTGGGAATCGACGTTGAAAATTGCAAAATGATTTAATAGAAGTTTCCAAGGAATCAATATTCTGTTGCCATCTTAGGCCTACACGTTAATAAGGCGTTTCAACTGACACACAGCAAGACAAAGCCAGTATTTCAGAAGCATTGTTACAATTAAAGTCCTTACTGCAACCACTGAGTTATTCAATGCGCTGCTGAGTCTGCGAAAGTGTTGTTAAACGTTCGTTGCAGTTATCTGATGACCTGTCATTTCGAACGTAAACAAAAGCCGCATCTTGTCTGTGAAATTGGTCAGCGCTTCGAAAGGTCTAAGGCCCGCAGAGTTGCTGGCCAATTTCTCTGACAAGATAGTGGCTTTTCTTTACTAACAAGTATATGTCATTGCTAAGCGGATAACTAAAAATAGTGGACTGACGTTATTTCCCTGACTTCCATCATTAACTTTAACAATGTATCTTTCAGTAGCCCTAGGAGGTCCGAAGATTGTTAAGCTACTTGATGGACAACTACTCTTCTGTGCCCAGGAAAAATACTGTAAGAACCTTCGGGTGTTGCCAAATTTCCTGTGATTAAATACTAATTAACCGGGAAAGTTGTGAATATTTTTCTTCCAATTTTTCAGACAGTATTTTTTTGCACTTTGATCTGAAGTATCTGACAATATCAAGAAGAAATATGCATAACTTCCTTTCAAAATAAACGTTTTATCTGAGAAAATTTGGCAACTCTCAAATGTTCGTACGGCATTTTCCATTAGCCTGGCAGCACTGGTCACCAGAGTTGGGCGTTAATAATTCGGCAATTTTAAATTGGTGCGGCAACGGTGACACTGACTAGACGCTCGGTCCCCAGAATTCTCTTCCTGATAAGATAGATCAATAGTCAAATTACTCGTCCAATTGACGCCTGATCGGACGTTTTTGATTGACCAGATTTTTCCCAAATAATTTTTTCTCAGCTCTGCTGGTCATCCATGACAGATAGCATATCGTCAACCAGCATTTATCAAGGCTCCTCTAGGAACACCAGATAACTTGATGGGCAGTTAGATGAGATTAACCATGCATATCAGGTAAAGAATGAAGGAATTTGATGTATCCTACTTGAGCCAGTAACTTTTGGATCACTGATAAGACCCACTGAAGTTGCATCACTGTAGAAGTAACAGGGATTGCTGAGTGATACTTAAAGCTGTATTTAATGCCTTTATCATTTCAGGAATGCAAATGCTCACAAATGGCATGCCGGTGCTGTCGCAGAGGAAGAATGTTCCTCAGATAGCAGAAATAGTTCCAGAAACTCTCACAGGAGAAGTCAGGGTGATAGTAATTGCATCAAGTGAGTAATTTTTTTGCAGGTTCTCCGCCAAATTAATAATGGACCATTGAGAAAGTGCCAATGTAAGCATTCTGATTTGTATTTCCCCTTCAAAATTCCCTGTAGAAAACGATCCAAGCAACACAATTTGCTGAAGAACTCTTAACACTGATATTATTAATGTCTTTGTGTAGCACTGTTTAAGAAAAAATTGAATTTCTCGCCCACAAGAAAAACCAGAGCCCATGTAAACCACAAAAAGTACTACAACAGGTTTGTCAAGCTTCCCAAGCAAGCAGTGTTTCCTGCAGGCCCTGTGCTGTTCAAAAAGTAAGCCGTGTTCAACAGCCAAGCCAAAGCACAGAGATTAAGGTTGCCATATTTTCATACTGCGGAGACTGATAGACACATTAGTGCACACATTTAGTATACGATTTAACTCAAGTAGATCTTGGTTTTTTATGAGCAAAAAGTTTGGTGAACCCTGCAAGAACCATTGCCACATTAAATAATTTTGAGAAATTCAGAATTGATCTATGACTAGTTTGCATAATTGTTGTTGCCACCATCAATTACAAGATACTGCCCTGTGGTGTCAACATTTGTTTTCTTTATACTGAGTCTTATCAATTCATGCATTTCAAAACATCACATTTCTTTTAATATTTATATTTCAGGGTCAAATTTTTCACAAAATATTCATAATTATTTCCATCATGCATATCTATCAGGGCATAGTATGCTTCAAAGTTAGCTGTCCTGGACTCGGCCATTATTCCCACATTACTGGCAAATATTTAGGCTCCATCCATCATACTGTGCCTAGTATTACATATTTTCATGTCACAGCATACTGAAGAACAGTGGAACATGTCTATATCATACACTCATAATTTTTTGGTATACTCACAGCAAAAGTTTTAAAAAAAATAAGCCTTCTTCTCTCTTTCCCCAGCATTCCAAGTAGCCACAACACTGAAAGACATCGACGATCAGGCTCTTGCGATACTGGTGATCATAGACCTCAACGATCAGGTTCTTTTGACACCAGTGAACATAGATTGAGACGAATCAGCAATCGTTGGAAATGGGAAGATAGGAAAGAAGAACTTCGCAGAATTCGCGTGGTGATCAAACGGAATACAGTGCATGAGCCAGACAACTCTCCTATCGATAGATCGGTAAATGTTGAAGAAGTGGTAATTCCAAGACATCCAGGTATGTCCTCTCTGAAGCTGTCTCAAGAATCCTCAGAAGAATATTCATCCAAGTCTCTTACCTTGGGAAGAACATTTTTTAATGAAATGAATAGCCCTCTCTCGTGGGCTATACCTATCAGCTTAATCTATTCACTTTTTTGGAGAGTAAATCAAACCAAGAAACTCACTGCCGATGCAAAAACTAATGCCAATAAAACGATTTCTAAGTGTGACAAATATCAACTCAATGTAAAATTCTGATTGATGTCGTCATTCTTTGAAGATGTAAAAATGTTCATGAAACAAGAGATTTCATGGAGGGGAAGGGTAATTGTCTTTCAGAAGTCTCATTCTTTATTTACTGAATTTAGATCTTTCGAAGTTTTACTGAAGCACTTAGTCTGGCAAAACTAATTAATTTTATGTGACAGTGCAAGTTTTTAATTCACTTTCCCCAAAGCCTGATAAGCTTTTTCAAGTCAAATATTTGCACCTGCTGTGCTTATCGTAACATCTCAAACTTTGCTGTAAAACAAAAACGACACTGCACAAGTCGATTTATAAATTTGCCGGCATAAGAGTCACACGTTATTTAATGTATAGAAAAGCCTATAAATTGCAGATAATCTGTGTGTACCACAGCTGTAACTGCCGCAACCTTGAAACTCTTTTAGAAAGTGAAAAAGTTTCATTTCAAAGATGAACATTCAAACTTGCCCATAGATCTCTTCAAGCTGCGATCCTGCTCTTGCTTGTTGCCAACTTTCAATCTGCAATACAGGTAGATGCTCTGTATTGAGCTTTTTTCTATACTAATAACTGTGTGGTTTTTGTGCCCGCCTGATAATTATAAATGCTCGTGCAATATTATGTGTCCTATTTCTATATTTTATCCTTGATCCAAAATGAGGGAAATCGTATATGTTTTCTTCAAGTCTAATCAGTATTTTTCTTCCAGCATTTCTGCCTTTTTTTTTTTTTTTTTTTTTTTTTAAGATTTTATTGTCTCAAAAGTAGTTTTTCTGTCTTTTATCATCTGAATTTAAATTTCTTTTCACGTAATTAGAACTTTGCAAAGTTTTAAACAAGTACAATCTACAAACAACTACAGATCAATATTAAGATCTTTCATTATTTAGACTTTTGTACAATCTCATTATTAGTTTTTCCTCAATATCAAGGAACATCTTATTTTCCCATTCTTAATGCTATAAATTAATCAAATATATCTAGTCATTGAATTTCGTAGCTACTCAAAATCCTAGATGTGATGATGTTCCTCTCAACCAATCAAGTTTAAATATTGGTTACTCAATTTGACATTTTTTCTGTAAGATAAAATACTGCTTGAAGCATAGAAGACACAGGCAAGTAACTGTGAAGAATCAACATTAAAAGAAGAAGAAGAAGAAGATAGCGATGAAGAAGAAGAAGATGAAGAATATAGCGATGAAGAAGAAGATGATGAAGCAAAAAAAAATGAATGAAGATCAAACCAGCAATTGATAACCAGCTTTTAAGTTTTTTCAGAATAAGGTAAGGTTATTCTCTCACTACATATATTCAGCTGCAACTTCTTTACTTTTTAAAAATTCACAGATATGGAATGAGTCTATCATAAGTTTTAATTCCACTTTTAAATCCTTTTTCCAATCCTTGTTACACGTAAGAGAGAAAGTTAATTCTGTTTTTAACCAAGATTTTAACTATATTTCACCTAAGAATTTTGTTTCAATAAGTATTGATATTACTTACATTCATTCCAATTTTTCTAAAGTTTCTGGTTATCAGTCTCTAATTTTACTCACAGAGGATGGCAAGATTATTTCTCTCACTAAGTTCTGAATTCTTTAATTTCTGAAAAGATTATAATTAACAAGTCAATTATATTTTCTGGGCTCTTTCCCATCCTATTTTTTTTTCAAATGAAAAAAAGTATTTTCATCCTTTATAGATTACCAATTCAGTAAGAAAGTAAATTTTCCTCTGAAATAATTTTCAAGTCACCATTTATATTGCGCACTAATATTTCTTACTTTTGTGCACATTTTCCCTAAATTTCAGTTAAAGGTCAGTGAAGTCCAAGAAAATTTAAGAAATTGAATTATTTCGTTAAAACTCTAAGACTTGAATGTACTTTTTTTTCGTACACCAATGATAGTCCTTTTTATCTTGCCTCCTCTGCTTTTAGTGATCTGGAGTTTCCATTACATTTTTTAAAAATTTAAAAAATTTTGAATTCTAAATCTAATCAATTCTTTGTCCATTCCTAAGATTAATTCTTCCATAAAATTATTTCAATTATTCTCTCACAAAAAAAGTCAATTAGAATAAAAAGCTGGCTGATAAACACTCTTCAAGACTACCCTCTGGAAGCTGACTTCATGAAGAACCAATCACGGATACATTTTCTATGTGCACAAAGTCCTAACTATGAGCATTCCTATACATTTTTCAACTTTCTTATCCGTAAACTCACTGACTTTAAGATAGTATTACGTTCTCTTTTGTATCAAAAATTCACCTCTAAATTTTTTAGATTTTGTATGATTTAATAATGAAAATTCATTCATTACTTTTGAAAATCTAATTAGTAACTTTCTTTAAGCAAAATCTTTCGATCAGCTAATTATTTTTGCAAATGAATCAAGTTTTAGATTCATCTTTTCACAACTTTTTGTTCTTATTTTTGGTTGGATTTTAAATATTTTGATTATTTTAAAAGTAATTTGATCAATATTTGTTTCTTTTAGTCCGTATCGAATTTATTTGACATCCAAGGATCAGTTTTTTTTAAAAAAAAAAAAAAAAAAAAAACATCCTTTTAATTTGTCAGTGCTCTGTTCTTTTTCAATTGACATGCAATAAAATAATTTCCTTTAATTTTTTTGGAATTAACCATTTAATTTGCATATTAACTTTTATCATCATCTCTGTGAAAACTTTAATATCTGTCTGATGAAGTAAGATTTTTGCAAAATCACTAAAGTTTAATCCATTGAAGTGAAGCTCATAGTTAGGCAAGAAGATTTACGCAATCACCGGATGAAGATACTGAAAATAATATCCACTGTAATCCCCATGTATGTGTGTGGATGCTGTGTGCAGGAAAGAGGAGGATAGAGTGTGTGAATATGTATGAGCTCGTCTGCTTTGATTTTCACCAACGAGTATGTTGGATTCGGAATTTTCTAAAAATATTATTGAACAAAAAAATTGTTTTAACTCAAGGGGCCTTTTCTTTTAAATTGGGCAGAATGTTCTTTTAGAATGTTTTTTTAGCTGTGTTCTTTTTGAAGTCTCAAATAAATTTTATCAATTAAGCAGCTCAGTCAGTCTAGTAGTACATTTGGTCTGCAATTTTAAAGAAAAATAGATTTTCTGCGCAATATGCCAAAAAAAAAAAAAATAAAATAAAAATAAGTAAATAAAAGGAATATGCAGTTTTCTTGTGAAAAAAGATAAGTTCTTTACTTCTTTCTCCTCAGTCATATTTTCATTTCCTCAAAATTAATTTAAATTTTCTGGATTAAAATTTTGAAGTAGACTGATTTGAAAATGCGTTTACTTCAACATGAATTTTATCTTCACTTCTAATCTTTAAACAACTAACCTCATAAAATGCACTCTTACGTACACTCATGCAAGTGTAAAACTTGATGATCTGCCCCTGAAGCATCTGCAGTATTCATCAAAAGAAGTTATCCTGGAAAATCATCATTTAAGCAAGTGTGCTGGCTTTCATTCACTCGATACGAAATTTCAAGCATTTTTGTTTCTTTTAAACTAAAGCCCATGAAGAATTTTGTTAGTATTCGATGTTCTATTTGTATGAGTCAAATCAAATTTTAAAAAAGCGAAGAAAAAGATCTTATTAAGTACCATATTTCCAGTCTTCCAAATTTATAGTACCTTTCAGTAATTGAATCTGAAACCGGGCTTTAAGTCATCTTTTTCAGAAATGAATCTTAAAGTTATTTTGTTCCGATAAAAAATGTGAAATTAATAAGTAATTATAATAATACAATTTTCCCCAAGAAACTCTTGATTGTATTTTTTATCTTTTAAGTTACATTTTTCAAATTTTTATTGAACTGAGTAGTCAAATATAATTTTGATTCTGATATTAGATTTTTTTTCAAAATTTCTTTATTGAATTTTATATGAAGTCTATTATTTTTTGCAGCATTTCGTATTCAGTGACCAGCGACTTGTCATTTCTAAAATTTGTTCTGGTAAATTGTGTTCTCACTCTACTAAATTTTTTGTTCTCTATGTATTTTCATTTTTGTGAGAACCTATTCTAATCTCTCTTTTCGATTTGAATTTTGATCTGTAGGTGAGGGTTCTCATCCCATTTTCGAACGGGAAGACATAAATGCCAATGAAACGAGGACTGTAGGTAAGGCACTTTTTCATCTATGTCATTTACTGAAATTGAACTACTCAGCTATCAATACTACCTCTCAACGTTGGTTCCCAAGAACTGGGGAAATGTTTTCAGGATGCATAGTCCAAAAAATCTCAAGAATAATTTCTGTTCTTGGCTATTTTCCTGCAAGTATGATGAAATGTTCTTTTCTTCCTTACACACAGACCCTTACAGAGAAGTATCTTCTGAAATGTCTGGCAAGGTCTATTTTTTAAATTTTTGTGAGGAATAGAAATTTACAAAATCCATGAATTAATTTTTTCCAAGATTTTTTAACTCTGACGGATCTGCATCCAATCGGACCCTTTCCTTCTATGCATGAGTAAACGTCATTGTTATTCTTTTATTTCATTGCTAGCTTATTTAAATCAGGTCATCTCAGTTTATTCTTTCTTTTTACCAAACCTCTTCACTTTATTCAAATCTTTCCCCTCCTTTATATGCAGGGAAGGATCTTATCTCTGAGAGGCTATAGCAACAACGTAGCAACTAGTTATTCAATTCTCTCTCAATCATTATTTCATTATAGCAGCTTTTCTACCTAGTTTTTTCAATTTCTTTTGTCGGAAATTCTTTATTAGGGATTATCTCATCTGAGTGAATGTCGTATTTGTTGATATGCTGGATATATTCCACAAGTATTTTTCCTGCTGAAAATGCTATTCGTAGTTTCGCACTTTGCCTTATCACCTTGAATAATTTTACTTACTTTCAATATAATTTTATCGTTGAGGTTGAAGGTAGACAGCTAGAACTTTCAAAAACGGTTTTCTGTTTTTAACCAAAAAAAAAAAAAAAAAAAAAAAAAAAACATGCAGTGGTACCTGCTTAAGCTTCTATGCTTAAATAAATAACAAAATTTCCCTCCGTTAAAAATGCTCAAATGGCATAACTCAGATAAACAAGAGTTTATGTTCTCCAGCGAGTGTGAATTTTATTACATCAAAGGTCAATTGAAGAAATTAAATTTTGAAATTTACATTTGTGTGAAATGTAAAACTGATATTTTTGCAATGGATTACTTCTTGCTGCCTCTTTTTATTTTTTCCTCTTAAGTTTTTTATGAGAGACCATCGGTTAAAGAACTTCCTTTTCAAGAAGCAACTTGATTTTCCAATTTACTCCCCCATAAATATTTTACAACAGTCTAAACATTTCCGAAAACGTGCAGAAAATCAGGAAAAAAAGAAATAAAACAAGTACTAAATCTGTATCAGATTATTACCTATTTCCTATTTTCCAAAAAAATTCAAGCTGCCTAGTTTTACAAGAAAGTGTAGCAAAGAATGAAAAGACCTCAAATTCTTAAGATGCCTACCATAATATTTTAATATCTACTCAGGTCGGAAGCAGAAATTGCTATTATTTTGGACCAAAATCCATTTTACACAATTTACCTCTCTTAATTTTGAGTCAAATGGATCCATATTTTCTGTTGCTAGTTTTGGCTTATCAGAAATACATTTAAACCCTAGGCACGTCTTTTTTTTGTCACAATATGAACTTCTGCAAGAAATTATTCACTGTAACCAGACTTTGACTTTATTCAATACACAGACTATATTCCCTAACATTTTGAATATGTATCATTTAACTGAAAATCGTTCTCTTTTCATGTCCTCAAACAATTTCGCTAAATTTTGCTTGCTAAGTTTTTTTCAAACGTTTTTCGTATAATTTTCTTTTAACCTACAGTTTTTGGCACATGCCTGGTGTTTGAATGTTTTATCATCAAGTTTTGAATAATAATTTTAGTGAGTGGTCTCGCATTATACTTGAAAAACTCATTTTTAAAGAAGGATTCAGTTCAAGAACAGGCCCTGAAAATGCTTTTTAGGAGACCCCTCTTTTCGTTTGGTATAAAGAATGTTTTCTCTGAGCTCTAATTTAAACTCTCTTTGAAAAGAAAAATCACCCAAAAAACTCAAAAAGCAATTAAAGATTACCATTTAAAATATAAAAAGAGTAAGGGATATAAACAATACTGAAAAACATATTTCATGAAAATGAGCTTATGAAGATGATTAATTAATTATTCTGCAGTCTTGTATGAGTTGATCTGCCTTAAAAAATGGTATGTATAATTTCGTTTTCCAACACTAACTTTACACTCTAACTTAAATTAAGGCTTCTAATGATAAAGAGAGAGGAAGATACAGGCAAAGGTTTTAAAATTAAATGAAAATTTGAAAGTGTATCATGTCGGCCAAGCGACTTCAGCTGGTGCCATTCAAGAGAGTGTGCACAACTTCTGAGTGCCTTTTCCTTCATTTATATCTCTGGGAGTGGAGATTTTGTCCATAGTTTAGGAAATGTTAGCATATTTAACAGGAAAAAATCTAAGTGTTAAGGTTTGGATCAGAAGTCAAGGAATTTGATAATTTTGTAGTCAAGGAGGAGCAATAGAAGTCAAGGAATTGGAAAATGAAGGAATTATGGAGACCCAGGTCTCTATCTACCATGTCATAAACCTTCAATATTTTATTCTAATGCTGAAAATTCAATTCTATTCTGAATCATAACTGTTTTAAACCAATAATATGAGTTATTCAGAAATACTCACCTAAAATCTCAAGTCAAAATTCTCTCTGAGAAATTAAGTGAGGGCAGAAACTTCAAAATGTCACAAATCAAATATGTGTTTTCCTCGATTCACTTTTATATGTATGCACTCAGTCTTCAAGTCAGGAAAATATAACTGTTGCCTACTTTAGCAAAAACTTTTAGATACATTATTAAATGCTGAAGTTTACTTCAACTAGGTGACTATTTTTGTGAACCTTGTGTTTAGAAAGTCTTTTAATCAACTTTAGGGTTAAATATGCACATCCTTTTTTGCTCATGTTTTCTGACACCTGTTTTCTGTTTTGAGCCCCTTACTAGCATATCTTAAATTGCTTTTTAATTTTATTAGAGCATTGTCATCGCCTTCCAAGAGAGAGGCCCCTCCCTTCAAGGCCTGAAGATTCTTTTCATGATGACCGGAGATCTGACAGAGTTCATAGAGAACGTGTAAGCTCTTCTGATGGAGACCGATTGAGTAGAAGGTATATTTATCTTCTTATCTATTTCATTAAAACTTCGTGATGGTGTGAAAATCATTGTGACAGAGTTCCCCATTCACTTTTCTAAAATCAATGAAAGCCAGCATTTTGCTCTTGAAAAATGCACATTTTACTAACTCTAAAATCAGCCAAAATTCTTTCTACAGTTGTGTACTGTCGTGCAACCCAAAAACGCTGTAAATGCCATTTTACAATTTTTGGAAACAATGTATCATAGCAGGAAAACTTGTGTACCTTAGGAGAATGTTTTTACAGAATTCTTTCGGATATACTATCAAGAACTTAACCTAAAAATTTGAGGTGCATGGGTAAAACAGTTTTTATTTCATAAAGTGTTAAGTTCCAAAAAACAAGAGAAAATCTTGACGGATTTACAACGTTCTTGCTCAGCACGGCAGTGTAGTGCACCTTAAATTTCTGACAACTTTGATGGATAAAACTTGATTTTTTGTTTGTATTGACTTTCTTATGTTGCTTTGAATTTGCAGAGTTGAACTTGAACCCAGATCATCCTCCCGAGATTACTCTAAACCATCGACATCATCTCATAATGAACCTTCTCCCTCCAAAAGTTCCTGCGAAGGTCCAAAAGATTATAGAAGGTTGGTATTATTGTTATGCATTTTAATTGACCCCTCCTAGAGCGGCGTCACTTTCAAGTGGGGGTAGAAGTGTCCTGTTAGTTTTCGGTAAGCCTACTGAACACTTCTAATACAAAGTAGAAATGATGACAGGACTCTTTTGAGTGATTGTTTAAATTTTTGGAGGCGGTAAAACCAAGCTGCTGCCATGTATATCTATTCTACAGGCTGTGTAACTTGAAATGAATATCCATGGCAATGAAGCACAGAATCGGAGCCATCCTAGTTCTGATACGGTTGACTGTTTTTATAGCATCAACCCTATTAAAAAATCAAAATGTGCCTGAATAGTTTACTGCTAATTTGTCAACACAGCCGTCATTGGAGCCTCAAAAATATTCACTTATTCTCTGTGTTAGTTTTATGTAAGCATTCCCTATTTGAACATCAGCTCCTAATTTGAAAGCTTTCCCGCTGAAAGAAGTATTTACTGATGAATTAGGTAAAAAAGAATTATGAAATACACAAATCCTGTGTATGTAATTCCTTTTAATTAATTTGTTAGCATACGTATAGTTACTTCTAGCATTAAAAACGTACAGGGTCATCATCAACAGAAGTTCCAGGATTTTGGTCAATTTTCCCTTAACTTTCAGTTAACCCAGAATTCTATCCTCATTTTGATTTGTTCTGATTATTTGTCATTCTCCCCACAGGGCTGAATTGGAACCCAGACCATCGACTTCCAGAGATTACCTAAGACCATCATCACATAATGAAACCTCCTCTTCTAAAAATTCTCGGGATGGTCATAAAGATTATGGAAGGTCTGTTCTCATTTTTCACTTATTCACTTATGAACTCAAATTAATTCCGTCATTTTCGAATTCTTTTAAAATACAAATGAAAGTATTTATCTCAGAATAATTATATTCCAATGTTTTCCCTCTGAATCAAACTGTTTTAAAATAGGAAGTAGGCAGTAAGGAACAAAGTTATTAATGAAATTTTAAATTTCTAATTTATTATTCTAAGCTCACAAAAACTTTCCAAGTCTTTTATTGTTCTTTTATTTTTTAAACAAAGTTGGAAAATGCTGTGTGCCCTCTCTCAGAACATGTGTACTTAGTGCACAAGAATCACAGAATCTGATTCATGTTTTTAATGCTTTGACTTATTCCAGTTCTAGAAAAAAAGTGCCCAAAAGAGAGGAAGAAAAATTCCATGATGACCTGCAAGGAAGGGAAGCGGACCACCATTCCTCAAACAGAAATCGCCAAAGTAAGTATCCTTTTCCTTCAGTGGTTACAGACTTTTACTTAGAAACTTGAATAAATTTAAAAGCTGAAACAAACCCCTTTATCAAATTTATACCTTCGCCTTTACCTTTTGCTCTGCCTTTGTTTCGTGTCCGAACTTTCCGGCGCGATTGTTTTGACGCAGGATTGTTCGGCGCACGCTCTATACTTTTTAGAATACAAGAAGAGCCTGTTTACCTTTTTTTCCAGAACGATTTCCTGTCAGAATATTCCGGAGAGGAAGACAAAGAAAGTGGAAGTTGTGGGTGTGGTTGACAAAAAATTCCAAGAATTTGCTACATAAATGTTTTAAGATAGTCAAGTTTTGGAAGTTCTCACCCCTCTTTTGCCAGATAAGTGTCCAAACAATGATGACATAGGAGAGAAATGAGAGGGGTAGGAGTAGGAATGAAACTTCACCAGCTCGGCCCTCTAGCTGGACTTAACGAAATGGAAGGCCATGGAAGTGTAAAAAAAGTGTATTTATCCCTTGGCACTAAAAAATTAATAACTTCGTCAAAATTGCTCAATTAGCTGAGTCCTTAGTACAGAGCCCTTGTCACTGAGAAACAAAGACAAAACATCTTCCCCAAAACTATACAGATAAGTGATCAGTGCATTGAGTTCAGAGGTGCTAGATTTACTGTCTACTGAAATACACCGAAAAGTCCTGTGCTAAAAACTCCTCGTGCCGAAACACCCGCGCCAAAAAGTCCGGGAACCTTTGCCTCAGCCCTTTATCACCGAAGAATCTGATTACCACAGCTAGTTTCCATTTTCTTTAACATTTTGCGCTTTAGAATTTTGTCTTTGTGGATTATTATTCATTGTGTTTGATTTCTTAAAAGTAAAAACTACGCAATCGTTGTCATTTTTTTTCACTCATATGAGAAATTTTATTTTTACAGATCATTATGTCGAAAAGTCTGAACGGATCAAAAGTCCCTCTCCCCAGCCCAAGAACTCAATTCGCAAAAGTACACCAAAAAAACCTGAGAAAGAAAACGGACACGGTGTGCCCTCGCCAAGCCTATCGAGTGAATCTGATCATGTAATGTATCTTTATGTAAAATAACCCAAAAATAGGAAAGAAGGAAACAAAGATCATGCGATGAATCAGGATGCCAAAATACACCATTGTGAGCATTGGTCCTAAACACGGCAAAAGCTCTAGATGCCTAAAGAATTATTAACAACCTGAAACAATTTTGCATGGACACATTAAAATCAGTAATTGAAGGTGTATTTAAAAGTTGAACAGGAAGAGCTTGTGACTTTTTTTGATAAGCAGTACAATAACTTTTTTAGGAATTTTTTACCTAAGATGATCTGCAGATATCTCTTGTCAGTTTAGTGAGCCCTGCTTCTGGTGCGACGTATTTCCGTCATGTAGGAAAATCGACAAGGTGCGGGTGGCAATCGGTGCTATCAAAAAAAAATAGGCTGTATAAAATTTGAGCCAATTGGAAGCTTTTTTAGATGATGCTCAAAGGGATAAAAACTTAGGGCAAAATTACATTGGTTTGAATGGGTGGAAAAACGCCTGATCTGCGAAAGTGCGTTTTTCGGATCTAAAATGCGCTTAAATAAAGAAAATCTGACCAGCTCTTAGAGAGGCATCTAAGGGCTCATTCAAAATGAGAAAATTACATGTTTGACCCATGGGTGAGGGTAGGGGGGATCACTGGAGTGCAAGATAAAATATATACACCAATTTCATTCCAGGCTCGAGAAATAGTATGGGAGGCAACATTGTAAAGGGCCAAATATAGTTCTCCAGGGCTAAAACAACTATTACACATGATTTCTTACCAAGTTGTGAGATACATTTGCCTCTTCAACTTCGGAACACTCATTTTGAGTTCGATCAGAAAGTCTCCATAGCGATCACTTAGCTGCGGGCGCGGCGCCTCAAAACCGGCTACGCTGTGACCCCCTATCCCCACTCATGAGTCAAAAATGTGATTTTCTCGTTTCGAATGGGCTCCTAGATGCCTCTCTAAGAGCTGGTCCAATTTTCTTGATTTATGCGCATTTTAGATCCAAAGAACGCATTTTTGCAGATCAGGCGTTTTTCTGCCCATTGAAACCAATGTAATTTTGCCCATAGTTTTGATCCCTCTGAGCATCTTCTGAAAAAGCTTCAAATTGGCTCAAATTTTATACAGCCTATTATTTTTATAGGTAGAACTGATTTCTGCATGGACCTCATCGATTTTCCTACATGACAGAAATAAGCCGCACCCTAGGCCGTGCTGCAATGAGAAAAGTTCCTTAAGAAGGAAGAATAGTGGAGAGTATTCTCAAAGTTTCAAGAGTATCTGAGCTGTTTTCCTTTTCATCAATCTGACAACAACTGGGGCTGTCGCTTTTCATATTTATACATCTATCTTAATTTTATTTTTAACAATTGATAATACTGAATTTCAACCACTGAAACGTCTTTTTGTCTGAAAACCGCATCCAGGAAAAGCTTTTTCAACATGCTCCCTCACCTTTTATTCCTTCATTTTTTACTGCTAATGAATAATATTTATCTTTATGTCTACAGGAGGGGCACTATGAAAGCGATCAAAGGTCTCACCCGTGGCCCGGTGGCTATCGGGTTATTGAACGATTCCATCCCCCTCCTCCGATGTTTCGGCCACCGATGCCTCCGCCTGTCATTCTCCCAATTCCACCTCCTAGAGTTCCTGTGATCATTCCAAGGATGCCGTACCGTGGACCAAGACCTCCTCCAAGGCCAGATATGTTTATGTACCCGAGGCCGCCGTTTCCAGGACCTCCAGGTTAGTTTCAATAGTAAAATATTTACTGGAAATTATCAGATTTTTTTGTGAAATTTTGTCAGAAAAAGTTGGTGGTGCAGCCAATGTGCGTTAAAAATCAGTAAAAAACAGCACATTTCTGTACGGGAAGATTGTGCTCTTATGAGCTTTTTCCCTCTTTATTGAGATTTTCAGCTTTATGCTGATTTTTAACGCACGTTGGCTATGTCACCAACTTTTTCTGTCTAAATGACTTGTGCTTCTACTGCAATCAGTTTATAAAAATTAGTGATTAGATTGTTACTTTTAGTCTTTGAGGGAACCTATTTTGAAGGTGAAATGACAAAACATGTACCAAAACCTTGATCACCCGACGGCAGTGTATCATTTCCCTTGAATTAACAAATTTTTTCCGCTCTGAAAATATCCGCATCTTTTTTATATAAACTTGATGGTATTAAAGCAATTTTCATTTTAACGATTTTAAATTTAAATTTTAACAATAATGAAGGATATTTCTGGTTTGTAAACTGCAGATTCTATGTAAAATAACATGGATTTAATAAATTAGCACATACAAATCAGGCACACACGCATATCACGTACTACAGATGAGATGGATCGGCATTATGCCTCTAGATAAGGTGTGGAATAGAAAAAAAGTAGCATGCTTTCTCTTCAAAATCCAACAAAGAACACAATTCACACAATAGAAAGTTCAGAAATCAACTTCTTAACATGATATAAACAGATATATTAAACACTGTTCATACAGAAGGTATATCATACAAATTAAGTAATTTTTTCTGTTTAAACAATGTTAATTGCAAACCCTTGTATCCTACCTAGGAGTTGATTTCCAGACTCTCTTTCAAGTGATTAATTTCTCCTGTAAAATTCTGAAGTGTAAACATTCTGCTTTATGCTTTATTCATTAATGCTTCAATTCATACCTTGTCTACAAGCTCATTGCTCATAGTCATTGTGTGTCTGCGGTCTATGAATGGAGAATTTGCAAGGGTCTGAAATTTGATGAATTTCCTGTTTAAGTGGAATCCTCTGAGTGAACTGAACACGAAGATACCCTTGATTCATAAATTGAGCAATTATTAGAGGAGATATGACAAAATAACCGATTCTGCTAAAATACATGTGTTTAAATGGGAAATGCCGCCAGATGACGTCACAAGGCGGCACATTTTCTCACTTTTAAATAAATTTTTCTCCAATTTCCCATGTCAGAAAAAAATTATGAAAAATATTGCGAACTCAGCTCATTAGGCACTTTCAGATGAAGCAATAAAAAAATTGCGTGCAAATTCTCCATTCTAAGCTCAACTGATATTAGACTGAGTGTTCGACTTACAAGCGGTAGAGATGGTACGACCAAGGAGGTGAAATGAATTTTTCAAATTATTATCTCAACATAGTATGTATATCGATAAATTCGCCTTTGTGCACCTCAGCTTTTTTATGGTCTCTTGTGTATGTTATCACGCTTTCCTCTTTTCTACCTTCAGAATTTATCAAATATTAAATTGTATCTTGGAATTCTTGTTTCAGGTGGCCCAAGAAGACCTCACTGGTAGTTCTGAGGAAGCTATGCAGTGCAGTCTTACTAGTTAATTATTCTAGTTTTTGCATCATACTCTCAAGATCATCAATGGAGCATAGCTATTTTTCAGTAGCTGTTTAAAATGTATTTTATGGTTTAGTATGGTGTTTTCGCTGTGATTATTGTATGTTTAAAAATTTCTGATCATAGATTATGTTTAAATGTTGATTTTGTACATCATTCTAGCGCAAAAATTGTAACATGGCCATTTCAAGGACAGAGAGAATATTTTGCCCCCACTAAACCTGATTTACCAATTTTAATATGGCTACCTAAGGGCGGTGAATTATATACCTAACCAAACCTGATTTACCAATTTTAAAATGGCTACCTAAGGGCGGTGAATTATATGCCCAACCAAACCTGCCTAATTTATCAATTGTTTCTGTTGTACCTTTTTATGTTCTAATTGTTCTATCAATGCATGATCAAAATTTAGACCTTGTCGTTGTGATATTTTCTGGTAATATTTAATTCCAGAGACTTACTTATTTTTTGTATCTTTATCATGGTAGTTGGTAGCAAATCAATTTCGCATGAAAAAATTTAAAATTTTACAGTCGGTTTTATCATCCTTAATTTTAATGTTGAACTCATCTCTCCTAATTTAACTTTTGAATGGATCTGTTGCACGCAAGAGATACATCTAAGTGAAGGGACAATCCTTTGGTGAAAGCACACAAAAATCATGATGGGCGCAACAAAAAAGTCTGATATATACTCCGAAATGCACAATTCGCGTCAGTTTGGAGTCTTTAACCCTTTTTTTTCAATTTTCCCACAACTATAGGCTGTTTTTCTCAGTTACCAACAAACCAGGTTTGTTTAGGAAGAGATGTAGGCAGGCCTGACCTGTGCAAACAATCTCCTGACATTTTTCTCGAGTATGATTTCAATCGTTTTTAGGTGTTTATTTCCTCTTTTCTTCTTTGTGTTGTGAGAAGTAGAAGTCCCACAGAAGAAAAATTTGTAACAGTTTGTGAGATTGTTTGTTTATTCAGTTCAAGTTTTCTTGCATCTTTCTTCAGGCAAACGTGATGCTCAGCCACTAAGAAAAATTCCTCAGAACAAGGGAAAATTGAAAAAGCAAGTTACAAACTCATTACCCAACTTGCCATCTTATTGCGCTCTTTGGAGTTGATTTCAGACTTTTTTGTCATGCCCATTGTGATTTTTGTGTGATTTTACAGGCTGAAAGTCTGTTCACTTAGCTGTATTTCTGGCATGCAACTGACCCATTAAACAATACCTAACTCCTGTCATATTTTTTTGTTCCTACAACAGTTTTCAGTTTCAACAGGTTCCTAGAGATGCTGAATAGCAATGCAATATATTTATTATTTATTCTATTTTTTATCATCCACTTGTATCTTTTTCCAAGTTGTGTTAATGACCGTGCTTACATAAAGAGATTTTATTAGGAATCTGATGTACAGTCTGTTGTATAATTCTCACATCACATTATTTCTTATTCATCTATTATTTTTGAAAGTGTATCATAAAACAGAAAATTTTTATCAGTAGGTAATGCGTAACCTCTCTTTTAATTTCATCACAGTTTGGTCTTAAGTATTTCCTATTCGTACTTTTTTTTAAGAAAAAAAAAACTTTGACTGAATCAATTCGCCTTGTGTTTTAGCTTACTTTTTTAAGGTACGAATTTTAGAACATAGATTTTTAAAAATGTTAATTTAATAAGTGTCAGAATAAATGCGTTGAAGTAATAATATGTAGCTCTTTTTTGTCTTTCACCGTTTGTTTCTCTTTTTTCTTGTTCCTGAGCATTGCCAAAAAATGTTCATCTTCTTAGAGAATCATGAATTTCTAATTTAAAAAAGTTTTTTCTCATGCAAAAAGAAATATTAAAGATATCTCAGAACATCAGTTTCACTCAACTGCGAATGAAATTGAGGATTTAAGAGCCCTCCATCTAGAGTTTGAGTGTTCATGACTTTTGAAAATATCTTGCTAGTTTCTCAAAGTACAATTTTTACAGAGAGATTCCTATCTATGGATTTGTGATGACAAAGCGCCATGTGCAGATCTTCAGTTGAATTTTTAAACTTTTTAATGTTATCATTGTACTATGCAAGATTTAAAAAAAAATTATCAACTACTATAAGTCTCAGTAATTAACATGTGAGTTCTGAGGCAAACATTTTTGAAGTTGTAAAATTGATTTTGACTAGCGCCTTTTTTTTTATTATTATTATTTTTTGTCTTTACCATATACCACATGCTCAAAATTAATTATTAAAACTTGAATAGATTTTATCCTAAAGAAAGTTTAAAAAAATTGTTGGGTCAATGTAGTAATCTGAAACGTAATGATGTTTAAGATTTATACCTGCTTACTTCTGCTGGATAAAATTAAACTTTTGGTAAAATGACAGTTATAGCAACACCAAAAACTGCAGGGACAGGTACTCGTCTAGAGGCTCCTTTAGGGCTAGGAGGAAAAGTGAGTTCACTTATTTCATGCTATTGTTCAACTCTCCGGCATTACTTTTAAATAATTTCAGTAGAGTCATAGAGTCGTTTTCTAGAGGGTGATGAGCATAACCAAGGTGTTGCAATCTATTTCAAATCTTAAGGCGATTCATCAAGCTCAAGTGACGTGGTCGAACTGATATGTGATATATCGCATCGATTAGGTCAAAAATCTTGGCAGATTTTGAATTTTTAAAAAAAAAAAAAAAAGGACGGTAGCCCTTGCGCATGACCCTAAAGAATCATTCTAAACCCACAAATCGGCCAAATTCAGAGAAATAAAAGCAGAATAGTTTTTGGGGAAAAACCTCGCCTTCGATACAAAAATCAATAGCTGAATCGAATGCTAGGTTTTTTTTTCCAAACGCTCTTCTGCATTTATTTCTCTGAATTTGGCCGATTTTTGAATTTAGAATGATTTCTTTGGGTCATGTGCAGGGGCTATCGTCCTTTTTTTTGCTAAAAATTCAAAATCTGCCGAAATTTTTGACCCAATCAATGCGATAAATCGCATGCCAGTTCGACCACTTCTTTCAAGCTTGACGAATCACCTTAATTAGCTGAAGTTTTTCAACCTTTTAGCCATCCTCAGAGACTTCAGAGCTTATTATTGTTCAACCTAAAAACAAGCAATCAAATTATCCACAAATGTTAATGCCACCATGAAGTTGTAGTCAACAATATGGAAAATATAGAATTTTTTAACAACTAGTAGTATCAGATCGTTTTTCACAGTGGAATCGCTTAAATTGCTCTGCGATTTACGAACCAGGAATTCCGAAAAAAAAATTGAAAATTGCATCTCTTTTGTACGTACTTACAATACCTCATTAGGCACCAATATTCATTACGATCTAGAGTCAGTTTTTTTCCTCACTACGCGTAGGCCGATGCCATGGGCCTTTTCTCCCTTTAAGTCAATTTCTTTTTGTACGAGGGAAGTTCATCTTCTATTACATTTGTCCCGTCTCTTCCCAATTGTTCGAAGATCTCGGACAAACCATGGCCAAGCGCACGTTTGATTTGCGCGCCATACATTTCGAAAATCCTCTCGACGAATAAACCGGTTTTTGATGGTTCGTCGTTACTTTCCCCTCCATCAGGGTCTTTTCGTTGATTCCCCTCCGCTCGCTTCGTTTTGTGTAGTGTGGACGTCTCCAAAAAGCCTAAAAATGGTAAATTTTCTTTATTTCTACGCTAATTATTTTTAAGATTTGTTTCCAACTGCCTCCGAATTATTACAAGATTTATCCTTAGTTTTTACCAACCACTGTAAGCACCAAATCGGCGAAGCAGATGTCAAATATCCACATTAACCTCAACCTCAGCCACCATGTGACAAACTGTTCTGTCAGTTTTATCTGCCGAATAATCCTACTTATCACTCTTTAAGCGATTAACTTTACCGATTATTTACAGGTTCTAGCTGATGATTATTATTATCTTGCTCAGCTCTTAAATATTTTCTCTCCGGTGCATCTGCATCACCTATGCGGTGGTACGGCTTTCCCTTCTGTACTCGCCACGAATCCTAGAGTTTCAATGAACGAATTATGACTCCTTATTTGAAATTTAACCTTCTCACTGTATTTGAATTTGAGCAACAGTGTCAGAATTTCCAATTCTTAAATTCCAGTGTTTCGACCCTAGAACCATCATGCATTCATGTCACTTTGTCACGATTCATGAAGAAATTTTTGGCATACTCCGCTCACAGTCTTCAGACCATATATCAAACATGCCAATATTGGAATAATGGGAGAAAATTTAACCATTTATTTCCCTACACTGGTGCGTTCATGGGTTAAACTGTATTGGTTCACATCGGCACCTGGGCAGGGGAGCATCTTCGCGTCGGATTTTTGCCTTACTTTAGGGTATCTCCTTTGTTACATACCTATCATAAATTTTCCCAACATATTTGAGTCAAATTTATCTCCTGTAGTACAAATCTTTCCACCTTTGTCAGATCATCTTTGGACTCCTCTCAAACTATCATCAGCGTACATACATTGTGTTGATGCAAGAAAGCCAATTCATAGAAGAAGTATGTATTGATCACTTTTTACGAACTTAAACAACTAAACACCATTTCCCTTAAACTCTTGGTATAAAATAAGATGTGTTCTTTCCGTATCATGGAGATCCAGTAACAGTTTTCCCTCCAACTTGTTTTTGTCTCCCTAAATGATCATTATCCAGTCCGTAGCCGTGACGTCCTAAAATACATCTTTTAACTTTTTTTACAGGTCAACGTACCGAAGCAGCGTAGGACTTACTGCAAAAGATGCAAAGCCCACAAGACTCACAAAGTTTCTCAGTACAAAAAGTCAAAAGAACGTAAACAATCTCAAGGAAGGAGACGTTATGACAGGAAGCAGAAGGGTTATGGTGGTCAAACTAAGCCTATTTTCAGGAAAAAGGTATGTATACTTTTCTGTATTAAGTTGTTACTTCCAGGGGCCAAATATTGGAGACATCTCACTCTGAGAGCTCCACATTGCGTGTAAGTTACATATGGAAAATAACTCAAATCTCTACTCTACAATAATAACTTGCAAAGTGTGCAAGGAAGGCTGTAATACTTTTATTGATCTTTGTTATAATAAACGTAGCACATCATTTATTACTTCTTAAAAAAGCATGATGAATATTACTGCCCATAAGGAAGTGATTGATCAGCTCAAGTTACTTTCATGCTTTCTAGTCATCAGAGTTGCTAAAATTTCTTGACCTGGCAATCGCTCTCGCTAAAAATGGGAAGGTGCGGAAAACAGGCTTTATTTACGAATAAAAGAGCCGGCCAAATCACTTATATATATTTTTTTTTTTTTTTTTTTTTTTTTTTTTTTTTTTTTTTTTTTGTCGTATTGGGGTTCAAATCACATAATTGTTCTTGTCAAGTCAGGGCAATCTATGCGTACAGAGCCCTAAGATGGACATCACCTCAAAATTTCTGAGGAAAGAAGGGTTTTCAAATTGGAAAGCCAAATTTTCTGCATCTCTGCTTTTCACATTACCTGGACTCTCAGTGTGCGGTCTCATAATTAATCCTTCTGCTTATTCGTTCTGTTAGTGTTTGTTCAGTCCTACCACAGTAAGAATGACCTCATTCTCCTGGCTTTTATAGATTCCAAACTGTTTTCCAAGGAGGAACGCAAAGAATTAGCGGCACTTTATATAGCATAGGAAACTGAGGAAGCCCTAGCTAGTTCAGTTAAAAATCTTCAGGGCACTGTAAATTCTTGGAATTTCTATTCAAGGATCAGCTGTACTTGTTTTGAGTGAGACTCATTTCACCTCAGTATTGCTGGTACGGGCAGCTGATGAATAGGAGAGGAAAAATTTATACCACTTCAGTGTGTTAGGTCCTTTCAACCATTTTACTGACTAAACATCTTCAAGGATTTCTGAATCCCACACAATTCACTAAGAAATAGAAATGCTTAGCCACTTCAGCAGATCAATTTCTGCTCTGTTAACCTCTCACAAACTTGTTTTTTTTCCCCCTGCTCTCATATTTCTCCTGCTTGATATTTTGCTGGGATGTTCTGTAGAGGTTAAACAAATATTATATCCTTTTTCAAATGGTAAATACAAATGGAGCAGAGAGATAACATAAATTAAATTGAAGTCCAGAATATGTATTGAATTGAACTATTGTTAGTCTGTTGTGTCAAAATTCTAACTAAAATATTTTCTTTTGACAGGCCAAAACCACAAAGAAGATCGTACTGAGGATGGAATGCTCCGACTGCAAGTACCGTAAACAGCTAGCTTTGAAAAGGTGTAAACATTTTGAATTGGGAGGAGACAAGAAACGCAAGGTATGTTATGAATTATTATTTGCGTTGAATATGAAGAGCACCTACATACTTGGTCTTTTATTAATGTCCTCATAAACCAACCACTTTTATCAACTTCAGGCAAACTTTTCCTCACCTGAAGGCATGGTTTTTAAGGAATTCGTAGAAAAAATCGGACAGTAGTGCATCAACCAGAAAATTTTAGCTTATGTCAATTGAGAGAGCATCTAGAGTTTCTTTGTGCCTTTTTCTATTACTTGAATCCCTAGAAGTTAAAATTTAGCAGCTCTTTTTGAGAAAGAGCTGTCTCACAGGAGTGTACTGGTACTTTGAAACAAAGAGGAACGATGCTATAAATCATGAGAAATAGGAAACAAATGAATGTTCATCGAAGGAAACAATTTGAAATCCTATTGCCTCTCTAAGAATACACAAGAGTCCTCGTAAAAAATGAATAAAATTGTTAACGATGTTCCAATTGTTGTATTTTTGAAAAGAAGGTAGAGCACTTAATTCGAAAGAATTTTTTTCTGATTGATATTAAGCTTTGATGAAAGAGTTCAAAGTTGCTTTTTTTTGAGATCCTTAATAATGATCTTAGCTGGCAAAGCGGAGATGATGTCCGAAAATATCTCTCTGCTATGGATACTCTTTAGATGAAGCAATTGCTTTGCTGCAATTTTTGGTTTGTGCAGCCATTATGAATGCCTGGCTGCACAGACCAACAATCTCGGCAAAAAAATGCATGGTCAAATGTGCAACGGAGGCAGAACAGATATTTGTAGTTGCCTTCTCAGCATTTTGCATTTAAATGTGAGCTGAAAATTTGCAACTTGAAGTCTTTTCAAGGCTTAGTAGGTACATATTGTTCAAACAAAATCCAGGAAAATTCCTCTGAACCATTAACTCTTCTTTTCACTGATTAAAAGTTACAGTACCTATAAGCTCACTTTATTGATGCCTAACGTTGCATTTCTCTTCTTGTGTGTTACAGGGACAAATGATCCAGTTTTAAGATGGTTTATTTTTTATTTCGTTTATACCCGCTTTTTTTATCGTTGTACTCTTCTTGACAAATAAAATGTTTTTCACCTGTAAAATTTAATTTTTTTTTCTCTATATTAATTGTGCAATCTTATAGACTTCATCTTAGTTTTCGAAACTATCGGTCAAGAAAAAATTTCTTTCTCCTTCAAAAAATGAATATCGACGGACCAATTTTATTTACCTTTTCACAAAACATCCTTGTGAAGTTAAATCTGTGATGGAAAAATCTCCTAACTTAGTTTTGAAACTAAATAACCAACTTACGAAATGAATAGGACCTAGTACTGTCTCTTCAGTCTCAAATATTACATCTACTAGAAGAAGCTGTCTGCTTTTTTAATTAATTATAATAAAAACATCTTAACCAAGTACTTTCAGTACTGTAAATGTTGACAAATAAACAAATATGGATCAAAGTTCATCAGAGAGAAACCAACCCACATTTTGAAAAATACTGTGTTCCTTGACTGTAGTCAACTAGTTTTACTTTTTCTTTAAAAAATCACATGTTTTTGTTTAACGTTTATTTAAAGTACCGATGGAATTATCCTTTGAAAAAATAGTCTTTGCTGTGCACATCGTCTTGCAAGAGACCACAACCACAACCTTAATCCTTTTTCACAGGTCCAACTTGATGCGAGTTGTTTCTTTTTGCTGAACTTTTACCATGTTGTCACTTGTGAATTTTTAAATAATAATTGATTTCACAGAGTATCATTTCATACAGGGGTCATCATCCCTGCAAGGTCTCTTTGTGCTTTCCTCGCAAGCTTTCAGAGCTCAATAAAACTAATGGTATTGTTGAATTTTACATACTCTTAGCTTCAAGTTCAGCCCTTATTTTTCAATAGTGGACCACAGAGTTACTCAGGAATGCACTGTTGTAGTTGATTAATCACATGTATAAGCATTAATGTGCTCAGACAGATTTAGAGGATCGATGAAAGATAATCTAAAAGTAAATTAGAAAGATTAAATCAAACTGCATGTAATTCGCTCAATGAATTTTGGTTTTCGTATACAAAACCAAGAGGTTATTTTATTTTTTCAAAGCAGCTCTAGGATATTCCAATCCAGGGAGTCATGCCAGAGGCGTGATTAGGTAGATTGTTCTGTTTAGCATTTCTGTGATCCAATTCTGAAAAATGATGGCCTAATTTAAAGTCAAGAGTTGAATATATACTATGGTATACTCGACTTTTTTTGGAGCTTTGATAGCTTGTGAGAAAAAGGAAAAACTTCACTTCCTGAGTGACCCTCAGAATTGGCAATCAGAAATCAATTTTTGAGGCTGAAGGAATAGAAAATATTTTCCCACTTACACTATTGCTGTTGTCGCCTAAAAAATTAAGCCCAAAAATTGTAGGCAAGGAAAATTGATCCTGAGAAATCTGTGAAATTGTCTGAGCGCCTTGCATGAAGAAACCCTTTGAATGAATCGCATACACTCAGAGAGAGGATGGTGAATGAGTGAATAAAATCAACACAGTTGTTGGTAAGATTGAATGAGAATTTATCATTCAAACGAATACTTTTTTACACAATATGAGGAGATTCGATAACTCATAAAACATAACGCCGTTTTGTCTGATTGATATGTAAAAGTCTATTCAACTTAAACTACTTTCTCAAAAGCAAAGTTTCCATTCAAAAAAATATATCCTGATATGGAAGGAAAGATGACAGCTTCTTTCCTCGCACTTTTCATTCATGACAGCTTAAACACAGATCGAGAATAACAGCACAGTTTCAAGGGTGGCCTTTAAGTAAACCACACCTTAAACTTAAATCACAGTTTTGATTTCTACAGATATCACAGCTGAAAATGTTGAGTTCCAAGAGTAGGAAGGTATCACGAGGTGTTTTTGTGAATATTTCTTTCTAAAACTTCATCGAGCTTTTGTTCCAATATATCATTGGTTCCACGTAAGTTACCAACAACGTCTCGGGCCCACAGAAAGTATTCTTTCACCCGCTCTGGCGTCCAACCTTCTGGGGTCTCTCTTTCAAGGTCACGTAGATTGTAAAGCTTGTCCGCAAGTTTCACCAACTTGGCATTGTGACTGGAGGTTTTTGCATGAACAACCTGGAAAAACATTGCATTTGTATCAACATATTAGGAGGGGTGAAAATAGCAAAAAAAATGGGAGGGGGAGAAAATACTCATCACTGCATCAAATTGGGGAATAAAAAAAAATAGATCTGAATGAAGATTAAGAAAAATTAGTTCCTCACTCACGAGTTTACCTTAATGATTTTTTTTTGGTAACATAGCTTGTAGTAGGCTCTGAGCCCCCAAAATCTTAAAGTTTTCTTACATTGACAATAATGCAAATAAAACTATCAGCAATGAGGTTGTCTTTACATAAATTAGATTCTACATGCCCTTTAAGAAAACAGCATCAATTTGGAAAAAGAAAACAAATCTTGAAAAATTTTGAAAAGTAATATGCTTACTTGCAATCGCTTCCTTTCAGCTTTTGGTAGATTTTTGTCATCAGTAACTTCATCTACAATGGTTCTGATGGTCTTCCCAAAGTGTCTTTCGATTTCATCAAGCGTCGTATCTGTGTCCTCAACAGTATCATGAAGCAAAGCAGCCTGAATTACGTCCAAGTCATAGATATGCCCTTCATCTGTAAGAATATTGGCTACTCCTAAAACAAAAACAAGAAGGAAAAACATTGTATTCTTCATCCCCAAACCAATGAGTAAAAAGAAAGTAAACTGTGTTTATCATCAGACGTCCAGAACTATGGATGGGCTAACTTTTAAAACAACTGATACAACTTTTAGAAACTGATTGTGTTCCTGGGTAGTCAGGCTTGGATTTACGACTTCCATACCTGCAGGGCAAACAATATTTCATTACACCTTGCATGATAGCAAGTGACATCCCTAGAAGGAGGTCTGTGCAAGGGTCTTCCCTGCAAAATTGTTGAAATTCATCCACCTTAAGACACGACTATTTTGATGACTATTAGAGACTATTTTGATTTTGAAAATCTTGAGGATTTTTAGTGAGTGCATGACTGCTAGTTACTTCATTATGTAAATCTATCAATGTCCTATTTTAAAACAGACAGGGAATGGGAAGGCGAATGCTGATGCCCTCTGCATCCTGCCTGTGACCAAATATTACGGCAATTTTGATGCTGAAGCATATCCGCCAGCAGTTCAATTCTCAGTTGCCCTTAATAAATTATTACTAGCATTTTATTGCTTTTGTAATCTCTCTTCTTTCATCCATATTGTTCATCACTTACAATGTACTTCATGAATGGCCCCATAATTGAACGAAAAAAAATAATATGTCAACCAAGGAGACATCTCTTGACCATTCATTCCTTAGCTTCTCACGAGCTGTGGTATGATTATTTGGAACTTTCGAGTACAGAATTCATTGGAGGTAAATTAGGAAAAGCAGGGAAATGACACAAACCAATGGGGTGATTAATGTACGGTGTTTTCTCAGAATCTTTTCTTCTTTGATTGGCATGCTTGATGGCAGCGAAGTTGGCACATTTGATGATTGCCGCCACTATTGAGTCATCACGATTACTCATGGTAAATGCAGCCTTGTTGTTCCTGCAAAAAGAAAATCGGTAGAAAAACCAGTAAACCCAGAGCAAGGATTGTTTGAGCCCAGAGGTATTGCATTTGATGAAGTATCCTCATGAGTAACGTACCATCTATGGAAACAGGGACCTTACTGCGTAAAAGCTGTAAATATATTTTTATTACCGCTACTGCTTAGATTACGTGATATTAAGCTTGTTGTAGCAATGGTAATATTACATTGTCCTTGATGTTTATCTAATAATGACAGGAAGTGTACACAGCCATTGCAAGCCGAGATACGTGGTCTGGTAGTTTCACTGCCGATATGCCAGCTAATGTGCTTGAATCGCTAAACAATCATGTAGAAGAAAAACAAAAGTTTTGAATGACAACAGAAGCAAAACCACAAGCACTTTGCTGTGCCTCACCTTCTTTTGCAATGGGTGAAACAGTAGACTGTAGAGTACCTTCACTGGAACCTTTAGATACATAAACCCTTGTAACCGGTAAACAGCGTTAGGGATGTAAATTATTTCACATGTTCGCTGGAAGTTTTAGATGAGAATCACTTTCAAAGCACGTGGAATTGAAAAAATAATTACTTTATCACTTGCACCCATCAAAAAAAAATTATCAACAATGTGCTTTTGTTTACTTCCTGATAACCTGATAACGAACTGATATCAACACGCCTCTGTCGGGCAATAGTAGAACTAGGATCTCTAATACTCATCTGCTAAGTAAGCTGCCTAACCGCATAATCCAAGGGGTTAGAGCAAGGGATCCTCAGATCCTAATTTCTAAAGTTTAGAACTAGAGGAGCTATGGAGGGGGGCTAGAGGAGGGGGGTCATAAAGTGCGTAAACGTGACGATCTAAGTT